AGGTGAGCACTTACAGGTCCCATGGGGGAACCAGTGAGGAGATAGTGGTGGCATGTCATCCTTAACAGATATAGCTGGGAAAGTGTAGCTTTGCCTAGCTTAGGGAAAAGAATGTCATTATTTCAGAGGCAGAGATGCTGAGGAAAGAAAAGGCCATAATTTAAGTTTTATAGAAAAAAAAAATCTATAAAACCAAAGTTACGTAGAAAATTACACCCAATTAGAGCCCAGAGAATTAACCTAAAATGAGTCCAGTTCTGAGCTGCACGTAAAACCAAAGGGATAAGATGCAGACAGGAAAAGAGTTAAAACAATGTGTTCAGGCCTGAGCCTACAACTTATCTTACGAAGATACAGTCCTATCTCATTGGTACCAGAACCAAAGAGGTCAACATGGATCCACATATGTGCAGAAGTTCACAAGTACAGCCAAGTTACAGAGCAGAGAGAGGAAGGCTTTCCCTCACACTTAGTGACATGTCACTATAGTCTTGGGGGAGTTCCAGCAAGTCAACATCCCTATTTTTAATAAAACAACTGCTTGGGCATGAAAAAATATGTTATTTTATTATTCAATTCAAAAACATCGAGAAACTAGTTCATGATTTTGATCAGCACTTTCATCACTTAACTTTATGGGCTCTGAAATGCTGCCAGTGATCAATCAACAGTGACCTCAAGCTCATACAATGGTCAATAGGAAGGGAATTTGGGAAATTGTCCTGCTGCAAGTAAATAAAAAAAAATGCAACAGGGAGGCTCTATGAATATTATCATACACTTTTAATTAGCTCATATTCCCTAGTAAACTACGATGGCAGGATGTATGAAAAGTCAGTTATTACAACTCCGTCAATGAGTACTTTTTCAATGAAAAATTAACATGTTCTCAGCCTGTTTCTTAACAGTCTAGAAAATTGCCTGGAGAATAAATATTTTGCATGTGTACCAATTCCACCTTATAACTCCTAGCACTGGTCCCATGACTTTAGTATTCTAACAACATTAAAGCCCTTTGGATTATGGAATTATAATAATGAAAACAAATTATGCCTGTCTGGAAGATCCCAGTTAGGATGTAATTATGATGTAAATCACAAGGGCAAAGTAATAAAAATGCATGGTTGTGAGGGCCTACTTATGATCATATAAAAATGCTTTCACTAAGCACTCACTGCCCTGGTGAATATTTCGTATCACTGGAATTATGGTTATGCTGTCTGCCAAGGCATATAACAATATCTACACTGGTTATAAGCAGTACATTCATCAGTGTACTGATAGGTTGTGGTCCATGATATATTTCTATTAGCAATGGGCAAGTAATACCATTTATGTGAAATTATTGACAAAACCACCACATGTTGCAATGCCTTTGATACACACTTGGAAAGAAAGTGCTTTATTTCTGTACTTTCCTGCCTTTGTACGTTTATTTAATTAGCATAGAATTATTTGTTTGTTAATACCGCAACACAGAGGCTAGTACAAATAGTACAAAGGAAGATAGAGGGCTATCCATTACACCTGCTGTATTTCAGGCATGTGAATATATTGCTTGCACACCAAAACTTTCCAGAGATGTTTCCATAATTTTATCAGCAAGCATCTTTTATATATACACACACATACATATATATATGAGGTATTTAACAGCTTCTGTACTGAATTTTAGTTAAACATTGGCAGAGTCATTCCAGTATATCTCAAGACTGCATCATAAGAAGTCTAGTGACAGGGAAATCCTCAACCCTCTTCTTGACATGGGTCACACTTTAACAGATGGCTGTGAATCTTCATGGCTACTTGCGACTGTGGGGAAAATACTCCCCACTCCCAATTCCAATCATCTCTGTAGTGCTTAAAGCAAATGAAACACTATTTTTAGAAAACGTAATGCATTTGCCCCCAAATTTCAATTCTATATAGCAGGTGTAACAAAGAAAAAGCATTACGGCCATGTTCTCCACACTCATAGCTTGACAATCAGGGAAGCCAGGAGTATGAAAGTGTTCAGAATGTCTTTACTATTAAAAGATCAATTTCCCAGTTTAACATTTATTGTAAGTGGAAGGAACTGCACATGCGGATCAGTAAGCTACTGAGTGTGTAAGCATCACGAAGCTCTCTCTTAATCTTGCATAACCTTGTTCTTTACCTTAACCCCATAAGAACTAATTGCAGAGGCATTTGGTGGCTACCCTTATACTGTTGTCATGCTGGAGAACCAAGACAACTTTGACTATTCAATGTGTTGGGAGGGTACATGTGGTAAAACAAGCAGGGTTATCAGTAATTAAAAAATGGGGTTGAGATCCATAATTTCTTTTCCAGCAATAGAGAGGACTTATAAAGTTGATTAGTAGAGATTAAAGACACCCTCAACAGCCAAGTACTCGGTAACAAAATCACATTCAAAGAGAGTTGGGCATACACTGCTTTTATAAAATGTATTCTGTGTTATTATCTGCACCGACACAGTAACATTTATGTAGGGATACCTTTTGGGGTTCTTTTGGTTGCTCTTATTTCTCTCTACTCTTTGAATTTCTTCTAGATCTCAAAAATGGCTACAGAGTAGACATGCTTTTGCACCTTCTTTCTGTAAGAAGTAGATCTGAAAACTCACAAGTCCAAGCATGACAAATACAATGTTTTTAAATTTGTATAAACAAGCAGTACCAAACAGATTATATGCACGCAGCCTCTTTAACTATAAAAACTTAGATAACTTAATTTCTTTTATTAGAAGTTTAATCAATGCACTATATAAATAGGCAGAGTAATTCTTTTACACACTTCATACTTTCTTAAAAAATTCTTTTACACTTCATGTTAATTCTTTAGCAACAAATGATCAAATGGCGAGGAATGCCTCAAAGGACCCAGCCATCTAAGAACTCAGCTCCCATTTCCACCCATGATCCCCTGACACTGAGGGAGGCTTGGAGATACAAATGAGGGTAAATACGGTTCACTATGCAGCCAAACTACTAGTATTGATATGTCAGGAATCCAACCTATCATGGGCTTAATGGTCTACTGAGAAAGCTTCTGTGTTATTTGAATGGCACAAATAGCCTTGTGCTATTTAAAATTCTGAATTTAATTTTGATGCATTTGGTGTCTTAGGGTCCTTCTAACTGATAGTGAGCAAAAGAATAGAATTGGGAAACTGAGCTAAGTTAAAATCAGACTGTTGCAACAGAACCATGTGCTGTAAAGATGCAGGGAACTAACAGTACAACTGCTAGAAGATGAAGGTTCCTAAATATTTTGTAAGAAGCCCTTCTTTTCTGTAGTAGCCTGGGTCCTTCAGGCCCAAGCTGCCTAACTACACATGTATACTCCATTTACAGCCACGTTCCAAGCTCCGAGGCTCCTACCTCCTCTCTCCCTCAGAGAACCATTTCTACACACTTTCTCTACAGCCCTGCCCCATGAAAGCCTTGCTTTATCTGCTGCACCTGGGCATGCCCAGGGATGGCAAGCATGGACCTGCTCCCAGCACTGCTGCTCCCAGGCTGTCTCAAGCTGCCTTTTTGCTGCACCATGGGAGGGAAGAGGCAACAGGATGAGACACAACCCATCCCCATCAACTGAACAGACACAAAAAGCGTACCTCATGTTCATCTTCTGCCACTTGTCCTGGCTGACTTCTGTCCCTGCTACTAAAAATAAACATTATACTTTTCGGATGGCTAGAGAACAGTTGTTGGAACTGAGAGCAGATAAACTCCCCATAATCCAGGAGGAAGCAGTTAAGGACCTGCTATGCCACCTGGACACCCACAAGTCTATAGGGCCTGACGAGATCCACCCAAGAGTACTGAGGGAGCTGGCAAAGGAGCTTGCCAAGCCACTCTCCATCATTTATCAGCAGTCCTGGTTAACAGGGGAGGTCCCAGATGACTGGAGGCTTGCCAGTGTGACACTCATCTACAAGAAGGGCTGGAAGGAGGATCCTGGGAACTACAGGCCTGTCAGCCTCACCTCCGTACCAGGGAAGATTATGGAGAGGTTCGTCTTGAGGGTGCTTACAGGGCATGTACAGGACACCAGGGGATCATGCCCTGGGACTGCTTAGTCTGGAGATGAGGAGGCTGAGGGGTGACCTTATCGCTCTCTACAACTACCTGAAAGGGGGTTGTAGTGAGGTGGGTGTTGGTCTCTTCTCCCAAGTTACTAGTGATAGGACAAGAGAAAATGGCCTAAAGTTGCACCAGGGGACATTTAGGTTGGATGTTAGGAAAAATGTCTTTACTGAGAGAGTGGTCAAGCATAGGAACAGGCTGCCCAGGGAGGTGGTGGAGTCACCGTCACTGGAAGTGTTCAAAAGACATGTAGACATGGCACTTCAGGACATGGTTTAGTGGGCATGGTGGTGGTGCGTTGATGGTTGGACTTCATGATCTTAGAGGTCTTTTCCAACCTTAATGCTTCTATGATTCTATAAAAGGAGTAAAAGACTAAAGGAGAAAAAAGGCTAGAGAGCATTTTCCTTGCACTTCCCAGATTGCATTCCACCATGCCCTAGGGAAGGCTCCCACACAGTATGGCAATGCTGCTGGACAGTTTTATCATCTACTCTTTATTATGCCTGTATAAATACAGCAGAACTCCAATATTCTGACTGTGGTTTTGTTTTTGGTTTTGTTTTTTTAAAGTAGTTCATGTGGATGTCTACTCTTGTATATGAGAACAAAATGTTTCCCTCTCTGCTTAAGTTTTACTGTGCAGTCTTCCACTTTAGTGATTTATTTATACTTACTGACTGAGAAAGAAAACAATTATCTAAAAAATAAAATTATAATCTTCATTAAATCCATATTAGCTGCTAATGCACTTTGTGGCTTCCTTATTTATATTCAATACAAACATATGTATATATAAGCATTGGTGTTGACAAATACTTATTTAGGCATAAGTTTTTGTCATATTACACAATACTGTAAGCAACACTTGTAATAGCACAAAGGCAGAGCAAAGACTCTACTCACCAAGCCATCCTGATCCAGAATTGGGTATGCACATATCTGTTTCAGCACTGGGCAAGACAAATCCAACAACAAAAACTTCAACCCCATCAGCCATTAGGGCCATTCCCAACACAAAGAAGAGGGCCCACTGGAAACGACCATGGCCACATTCTTGTATTATCAGTTCGTACTGCTGTGCTAGCTCTTCTTCATCAGCTTTCCTCCCTGTTTCCAGTTCATGACGATCCTTATATTCATCACGCATAGACTGACCTAAGGCCACCATGCTGTCCTTGCCCTGCCCCATGTTTGGGATTCCCTGATACTCCCCTTCATAAATTTCATCATCTTCATCATGCCCTTCAGTTGCTTCACTCGATCCTTCATCATCATTAGCTTCTACACCATAATTTCCTCCTGTGACATAGTAATCATCATCATCTTCCTCATCCTGGAATCGGTTGTAGGACCTCTGTGTGTAGCCATCCTGAGCTCTGTCAACAGCTTTATTCACTTTTTTCACCGCTTGCCTCTTCACCTCTCTGGCAATATCTTTTGCCCCTTTCACTAATGAAGTCCTGTCTTTGTATGTTTCGTCCATCTTGTATCAGAGAAGGATTGCTGTTATGCTGCAGAGGGTCTGCTGAACACCGTTTAGAATATGTATTGTGTGTTGGACATCAGCAAAGTACATGGAAGCTGTAATATTCAACCTGCAAAATATGAGAGAAAAAAGTTTATACTTTGCTCCTTCTCAGTTGCTTCTTTACACTGATATGGTACCATACCAATCTTCATTTAAGCACTGGACACCACAGTTCAGGGCTTCAAATATAAGAACCTGGTTTTTCTGCAGAGATGCAAATATCCCAGGTTACAAGGAAAATACTCTAAAGAGAAATCAAATATCAATACCGGTTTTCCGAATGAATTTATTACACTCAAGCCTTTCAATGGATACCAGGTTTTATTCTGAAAGAAAACAAGCAATTCCATGCACCATACGTCATATTGACCCTGTCTGCAGTGTCCTTCCCCATTTGAACACCCTGCTATGTAATAAAAGGCTACAAATATCAGCTTTTCTCTCAGTGAGTTACCACGAAATATCTGTTCTCTGTCCAGCCTCCCACTTACAGAAATCTTGTAGGGAGTCAACATTCCTGAGACCTGTACCAGTTTCTCAAAGCTGACTGAACTTGGCCAATGCATTCACAGTGCATTCATGCTGAGCCTTAGCAATATGTACTCCCACCCCCAAAAAAATCAGTGCAAGGAACTGGGTGGATGGAATTGGTGGCACTTACACACTTTGGAGATGTCCAGTACTTAAATCATGGACAGACACATTCCTCTCTCTCCTGTCCATAGTGACAGTAGAGGCAGCCTGGAGCACCTATATAGCATCAGCTAATTCACCCCACAGTGTGTTAGTCCAGCATAAGATCAAGCCAATCTAGCTGTGTGAAAGCACCAAGACATTTTGTCTCAGTTCCCTTCCCTGTTCCCCTACCGTGCCTTTCCATCTCTTCCTTTCTGCAGCCCCAGGAACACAAATGCAGACACAATGAGTCAAGAGCATCTTGCTTATTTGACCAAAAACTAACCATTCTCTTCTTTTCTGGGCAGTTTTCAGGCATATCAGCAAGGCAATTTCCTTGTCACACATCTGCGCTATCATTGGGGGTAGTAGAAAGAAACGGCAGCACTCTGCAACCCGAGGAAGGGAAGAAATGCAGGACCCTTCTCTGGCAACCGTCCGTAGTTAGAACAGCTGAAATCAATTACAAAACTGCACCATTACTCATGTGTCTAAAGCTAATGGGGGGTGAATCTGGGCACAGCAACAGGACCGCAGAAGGCTCACTTCTGTAAGAATGCAGGCTAAAATTTCTGTAGCGGTGCTTCCAAGAAAACACTGCCTGCCTCCAGCTTGGGGAAAAGGATATTTTTAACCATGATCACTTTAATGATCTATTTTCCAGCAAAACCTCAGAAAAAGCTGCAGTGGCACAACTAAATAGCCAGTGAGATGTAATGCAGGAGTAAGAATAAATGGCTGGAAATTTCTGAAGCAAATACTATTCCCCTTACTAAAGTAGTATGAACTGTCACCTGAACACGACGGGAGAAGGTCAGGATAGTACTTTGAGAAGCTGTCCTTTACTCATTTAGTTGTAAACACTGTCCCCAGAAGTATATTCCAGTCATCAATCTTAAGATTGATAGTCTTTTGAGGGCTAAGAAGAATTACAGACTGCATTAGATAAACTAAGGACATGAGGAGCTTCTGATAAAAGAAAAACAACACTAAAATCACAGGGACATGCAGGTAATACAACGGAAGAAGCTAAAAGATATTTCCCTAGATTTTTTCATAATGACTGTGGAAATCATCTATAGTGGAAAGTGTCTTTATTTTTAGTTTCTTCCTCTAGATAGTCACAGAATCACAGAATCATTAAGGTTGGAAAAGATCATTGAGTCCAACGATCAACCCAACACCACCATGCCCACTAAACCATGTCCTGAAGTGCCACGTTGACACGTTTTTTGAATAAGTAATACTTATTATCATTAAAACTTAATGTCACACACTCTGAATGTTTCTCAAAGAAATCAGATGTAATGGCATGATTCAACTATTCCATGCAAACTGAAGCACTTACTGAAAGGGAAATGTAGCCTTTAAAAAGCCAGAATGTAATATTTATGACTAAAGCTGTAGCCTGATTTTAGGAACATGGTGATCCTTCTAAGTAGGTCAACATGGTGAATCTTTTATGCTAAGGCAGTTTCTCTAATTACAGCTTTTCAGTTTTCAAGGCGCTCCTTAGAAGTTATTCTTTGTGCACCAAATCGGGCATCTGATCCTTACTGTTACCTGTGTGTGACTACAGTATCTACCAGCTGTTACTGAACACGCAATGTACAAAAACATTTGCTGGGTCTGCTGTAGCCTTCTACAAATATCTTCAAGAACTTCATACACTCCTAACAGGTACTGTTCTGAGGGTTAATGACTACAAAGTGTTCCTGGATTTTGACCATTTTAGATTATTTTAGAGTGTGCATGCACCCTACTTAACCTAGACTCTGAATTCCTCTAATTCTTAGATTACTAGGTTTTGGGTGTTTGGGTTTTTTTTCCCCCGTGAGTACAGTCTTCTTTGAAGGATTTTTAGCTGTCAAATTCCATTTTACTGTAGAGTATGTTGAGGGAGGGAAGACAGCAGGAGTTTAGGAATACTGAACGAACGTAAAGTCTAAATGCCAAGACCGGCAAAACCGTGCTTTGCACTCCTATAGCACACCTACCTCATGAGTTCAGCATACTCTAAAAACACAAATTAGCAAAAGCAACTGAGCTTACACTGTAGAAGTATGATAGACCAGGTATGTCAACAAGGAATTACACCTGTTCAAATTCATTAACAGCATAACTCTTCCAGCAAAAACCTGCACATAGAGCAAGTCAAATTTCTGAAAGATGTACTGACTATGAAATCAGAAATTTCTCTTTGTCTTCCCTAAGTTTCAATGTAGCACACCTAATTTGAACACCGTTCTTTTAAACAGCTCTGCTTTCTCAGTGAACTGAAATCCTTGCCTTAAGGGTGATAAGTACAAAGCGGAATTATTTACAGACCATGCATGATAGCTCCCCACCCTTTTAATTATGTTGGACTGACTGACTACAAGTAAGCAACTGGAAAGTCTGAAAAAGTGAGGATTAATTAGTACCTGAGTAGCATAAAGCAGCAAAACCACTGATGAGATTCTAGCCATATAGTCTCATTCGTGCCAACTATCTTACCCAACAAGCCTGCTCACTTTCACTAAACTAAACACGACATTCCTATTAAATTCCTTTAATTAAAAAAAAAATACAGGGAAATAATGATTTCACCTGAAATAAAAATATTATTTCAAGAAATACCTACAGAATTTTTTTCAAAAAAACAGACACAATGCACAAAAAAATAAAATTGTTTGCTCTAATGTTCATTCTTTTCCATTCTATTATATTCACAAATTCCAGTATAGTTACCACTTCATATATGAAGTCCCATGAAGATGTAAATTTATGAGATGTCAGAAACCCCATTCCTGCAGAGACTTTGCATATAAGCTGTGAGAAGATTCACTGAAGACTAACGACACAGGATGTACGTGTATCTTCAGACGATAAATTTTTCAGAATAGACCTGGAAGTCACACTCAAATGGAGCTACGGCATTTCAGGTATACTTGGGTACCTAGTATAGCATCTTTCCTGCTTTTCTTTTGAATCTGTAATTCCTTTTCAAAGAAAAGGAAAATATTAAAAATAATTTCTTGTTTAAGTTAATGCCTTTTTAAATGCACATTTTAGCCCACATTTCGATTCTGTTTTGATTTTTGTTTTTCTACCTTTGTTTCTTATTATCAATGACCTTTGCATGGATACAAGTGTTTTGTGTCTTCGAGTCTATCTGTTGCTCCAAGTTAGTCTTCATTAGAAGATACAATCTCCTTTAGATCATAACTACTTCCAATTATGCTACTCCGATGTGCCAAATGATTTTATTTCCAGGTGAAATATAAGCACCTGAACTATGTAAACTCACAAACAGAAGATGTTTTTTTCTTGCATGTGCTCTAAGTTATATAAAAAAAAAAGAGTAAGAAAAAATAGAAAAGTATTATGCATTGCTGTGTTATAACAAAGAACAAAAAAGTTCTGTAAGAATTTTTCCATGACACAGTTCAAATAACACAAAGGGTGCAATCCTTCAAGTGACCAAAGACCTGCAGAGTTATAACCCATCCTTGAATTTACTGGGGTACCAGCAAACTTCTTCCCCACCTCTTCATGCACAAAACTGTTCTAGAAGAGCTTTTCTTTTATGGTTCCAGGGTAGTACTTGCTTCAGTATTCCCCAATGAAGAATAGATCCCTCAGTAAAAGCTATTTATTTACAGAGGTAATGTATATATTTCTTTATAGAGGTATGTTTTCATTCGTAATAAATAAGACCTGGCGCCAAAGCTGGCGAGAGTGGGATTCTTTCTGGGTAATATTAGTAGATTGAAAAATAAGCTTCTCTATTCTAAGCAAAATTTCTTTCTCCCATGTTGAGAGTCACACACCTAGGCTGCAACTCTTCTATCTCGGGCTGCATTTGCCAAAGCCATATAAATCACCGTAAGGCTGCAGTGCCACCACCAGCAGCAGTCCCCAGCCGTGTCCCAGTTTGGATGGCATTCTCACCACTTGTCCTGTGCCAGTAGCGCTTTGCACTATTCATCCTCCGTGCAGCCACACAACACGTACGCAAGATGAGCCCGGGAATTCATTAGTCTCGTACACATCAAAAAAGATCACGAGCTGAGCAGAGATGGGAGTTTCATGGTGTGCTGCAATCTCTCCCCGTTTTGCTCCTTTCCTTCCTCATTAAACCAGCAGAGAGAACTCTTTCTCTCTCTGCACCATATGGTCTACCTGCCCAGCTTCTCTTAAACTCTTTACCTAATTTACCTCATTAGAATAAAAGCAGAGGAATTGCTTTTAACTTGTTTTTGCTTGAAATCTGATAACTTCTGTCAGATTAAGAAAGG